GCAAAGAGATTTGTACCGCACACTGAACTCTCAGCCTGCCAAAAACTTGCTTCATTCCATTTTCAGTAAACACAAGTGCAGCTCTCATTTGGGGCCCAGGGTTGCTTTGCTTTTTAGTGTTGGGAAGGGTGTCTTAAAGAGAAAAAACTGGTGCTGGCTCTGTTTTAAGCAAAACCTGTCATTCAAGTGGTTGGCGTCTGAGATGTAGAAAAGATGGGCCCCAAGGGCACAGGAACAGCCTCTGCTTGTTTCTTTAGATGTGGCCAAGAAAGTAAACAGGAACTTTTTCCCTTTGTTTTCCAGGTCACAGCCAAGACTGCCTTCCTATTTATTTTACCTCAGTATAACATTAGTGTGCCTACGTCAGGTAAGAAAAGCACTGGTCTCTATCTCTCCTGGCCCTGTTAACTCTAAAGGACTTGGAAAACTCCCCTTTTCCTATGCCTATATGACCTTTTATTTCTTTAAAAAATTTTTAACTTATTTTTATTTTATGTGTATGAATGTTTTGCCTACATGTGCACCATGTATGTGCAGTGCTTGCAGAGTCCAGAAGAGGGCGTTGGATCCCCCAGGAACTGGAGTTATAAATAGTTGGGACCCACCATGTAGGTGCTGAGAACCGAACCTAGGTCCTCTGCAAGAGCAGCCAGTGCCTCTAACCATTGATCCATCTCCCCAGTCCCTTTGGCTTACCGTTTTAGAGGGTTCAGTCTATGATCACTTGGCTCCAGGTACTTGAACCATAATGCTGGCAAAAGTATGTGGCAGAAAGGAGCTGTTCACTGAAGAACTGTTCAGCTGTTCAGTGGCATAAGGAAGCAGAGAAAGGGGGAGTACAGGAAGAGGGACAGGGCAGGACACCTACTAGGACACCAGGGATCTATTTCCTCCAAGTAGGCCCCAGATCCTGCTTTTCATCATTTCTCAATAATACCATTATTTTACGAACATAATCCATTGAATTGTGCTCATAATCCATTGGGTCAGAGTCATCATGATCTAACACCTGACAAACACATTAGAGCTGTGCTTTACTAATCTCCTAGGCATTTCTTAATCTATTTAAGTTGGCAACCAAGGTTTAGCAATACAGTGACTGGGACTCTAAATTTTACTCCAAGAGAATCAGAAGATGCTTCCTTTTAGGTTTAAAAATTTAAATACCCCAGTTTTTAAATGTTGGCAGCTAATTTTGTGAGTGCCATGCAGGAAAGTCAACAGAAACACATCAGTACATCTGTAAGCCAAGTTCAGCTTTTGGGTCATGGTTTGGCAGCTTTGGGGTTCCAAGGTCTCACCCCCAGGAATCAGACATCACTCTTTCTCATCTGTAAAATACTTATGTACCCTGTTGATGAAGAAAGGGGGGATTTTGCTTGCTGAATCCTGCTCTCCTCCCTTCATTCTGTGGTAGAGAAGTATATAGTTTTAACTCAGGTGAGCAGCCTTTATCTGGCTCCCCCAGATATACTGCAAGGACTTTGGGGATAAATGCATGACTCTGTTACCCATAAAGGATGTAACCATAACTCTTGCCTGAGCCTCGCCGTCCCCTGCAGTCACTGTGGCCAGGCACTGGAGGAATCCATGTTTCTGGGGACATCTAGCTTAGTTCCTTTTGGGGGGAGTCAAATTGAGGGATAAAGGTAAGAGAAGAAGAAAGAAAGAAAGAAGAAGAAAATTCCAAGCCCTGTAAAGAGTCTAGAGAGTGTCTCTCAGCCTGGCTAGATCCACACTCAGTTCACCACACACTGTAGTGCTGGTGGGCACAGTCATTTTGTTGCTCAGTGCCATGTGGTCCAAGATCAAAGCCAGGCTTCTTTTGTGATCTGTCATGTGGGTGCTGGGAAATCCAGGTGTTTTGGAAAAACAGCAAGTGCCCTTAACTGCTGAGCCATCTCTCCAACCTGAAACAGTAGCTCCCTATGCCATACTATCCCCAATCCTTGCAACCACCATTCTCCTTTCTCTATGAATTTGGTACACTGGTTACCTCATACCTCATACTGAATTGTATGTGTGGATATGTGTGGATGTGTGTAAATTTTTGCAATGGTCTCATAGTATAGGAGAGGCTGGCCATGTATTCAAGGCAGTCTCTGGTTTGGTTTCCACAATGCTGGGAATATAGGTGTGCATCACCACACCCAGGTTTAGAATCATATATTATTTGTCCTTTGGGGATAACAAAAAATTTAAATATTTTTTAAAAAATACATTTACACAAGCAGTGTGTAACTCTTAAAGTGTATGAAATGCAGACAAGAAGATAATGATCACAAATCCCATCACTCAGCAGGAATGTTAGTAAATATTTTTAGGTATTGACTCATAACTCACTATTTTGATACTAGAATATGATGGACCTTTTCCACGTGTTTAATAATTTTTCCAGTCTGACAAGCTGAAAATGTTAAAACAAGTGAGCCAGCCTGTCCTCCCTCCCTCCCTCCCTCCCTCCCTCTCTTCTTCCATTGGAAGAGCTCTTTTAATGAAGCTGGCTTGATTGGGAGCATTTTGTTTTTCTCCCCCCACCTCCTGAAATTAGAAAATAATTTTAGGAGTTCCAGTAACCCTTCTGAACTATGAGGTAACACCCCTTCTCAGGATGGCAAAATGTAAAATGAAGGAACTATGACTTCATGATGACGTCACGCAACTGCCGTCCACAGGTGGACTCATAGCCTCTGGTCCTCTTTCTCTTAGTTTTGTTTCTAGAAATTAGCATGCAAAGTGATGGGTTTCATTAAAGCATTCTTTTACATTTATATCAGCGTACTTTGTTCTCATCCACCCCTTCCCCCTCGGTCTCCCCCGGGCCAGCTGTCCTCCTTTTCTTGGTTCCCCTCCTTCTCTGTTACTTTCCTGTAACAGGTGCTGCACTATTCTTTCTTTCCTCTTCTTTCTACTTTCATAACCTGCACATGCAAAACATGCACATATATACATTTAAAAATAGATTGCACATATGAGCAAAACATGCAGTATTTGCCTTTCTGAATCTGGCTTATTTTGCTTAACATAATCTCCACTTCTGTCCATTTCATTGCAAATATATTGACTTCATGGCTAAATAAATTCCATCTTGTGGCTCACATTTGGTGTATGCCTTTAACTCCAGCACTTGAGAGGCAGAGACAAGTGGATCTCTGTGAGATCAAAGCCAGCCTGGTCTACATTTTGTGTGTGTGTGTGTGTGTCTGTCTGTCTACCTTGTTAAGTCAGTCTCCCTTGTCTCTGCTCTGCCCTGGGTACTCTCTCCTAACTGGTCCCTCAGCTTCTGAGTAATTGTCCTGTTTCTCCCTCCTATCTTACCTTACAAGATCTAAGATTGCACATGTAGGACACATCCAGTTTTTTATGTGTTCTTGGTGGTTGGGGGACAGGGAGATCAAACTCAGTTTGTCAGGCGCCTGTGGCTAGTGGTTTACCTGCTGCACCATCCCCCATCCCCATGCTATTTTTGCTCCTAGGGCTCTGTAGTTTGTAACTTGATCAGCTGTGCTCTTTCTGCTTGAGATTGCTCTGGCTTTTTGGAGCATTTTGTTCTTCCATAGGAATTTTAGAATTTTTTCCTCTAGTTCTGACAAGAATGGTACTGCAATTTTGATTGAAATTATGTTGAATTACAGATCATTTTTGGTAACAGCCATTTTCATACTATTAATTCTGTTAATCTGTGAGCATGGGAGTTCATTCAGTCTTCTAGTTCTTTTTCAGTGTCTTAAAGTTTTCATTGTAGAGGGCTTTCGCCTCATTGGCATTTTATTTTCTTTAAGCTATTGTAAATATAGATTTTAAAATTTCTTTCTCAGCAAGTTCATTATTGGAATGTAGAAGGCTACTGATTTTTGTATATTAATTTTGTATCTTGATACCGTGTTCAAAGTGTTTTATCAGATCTAAAGTTTTCTGGTGGAGTTCCTAGGGTCTTTTAAATAGCATCATGTCCTTTGCACATAGAGAAACTTTGACTTCTTCCCAGTTTGTGTCCCTCTTCTTTTATTTTATGGCTATAGCTAAGACTGGAAGCACTCTATTGAATAAGAGCATAGGGAATGTTGGGGAAATGCTTTCAGTTTTCCAACATTTAGTATAATATTGACTCTAGTTTTGCCTTTATGATGTTGAGATATAGTCTCATTTCTAATTTGTTTGGGACTTTTATCATGAAGGGATGTTGAACTTTGTCAAAGGACGTTTCTAAAATGATCATGTCTAAAGTCTGTTTATATGCTGTATTAATTTTCCTGGGTTGAACCATCCTTGTATCCCTGGGATGAAACCATAATGATTTAGTTGTATAATCTTCCTAACATGCTACTAATGTGATTTGTAAGACTTATGACGTCTGTATTCATTGGGGAAACTGTTGTATAGTTTTCTTTCTTTGTTGTGTCCTATCTGATCCTGGTATCAGGGTAAGGCTGCCTTCCTAGAATGAGTTTTTAGTGCTCATTACTTTCAATTTTGTGGAACAGCTGAGAAGCATTGGCGTTAGCCCTTCCTTAGAGGTTTTGTAGAATTCAGTAGGGAATCCATCTAGGCCTGGGTTTTCTTTATAGGGAGACTTCTAATTGCTACCTCAATCTTACTGCTTTTATGGCTCTTTTAAAGTTATTTATATTGTCTTGATTTAATTTTGGTAGGCCACCCACGTGTTTCTAGGAATTTATTCATTTCTCCTAGATTTTTCCATTTTTGGAATGCACTTTCAAGGTATTCCCTACTGATCATTTGGATTTCATTGTAATCTATTGTAATATATCCTTTTTTACTTCTAATTTGATTAATTTGTGTTTCTCTCTCTCTCTCTCTCTCTCTCGCTCTCTCTCTCTGGTTAGTTTAGCGAGGGATTTGTCAATTTTCTTTAAAAATAAAAAACATGGGGCTGGAGAGATGGCTCAGTAGTTAGGAGCACTGGCTGCTCTTGCAGAGGACCAGGGTTCAGTTCCCAGCACCCATATAGTGACTGACAGCCATCTGTAGCTCCAGGTCCAGGGGACCCAACATCCTCTTCTGACCTCCTAGGGCTTACATGAACATGATACACTTACATACATGCAGGCAAAACACTCATTCATGTAAAATAAAAATAAAATTTCAAAATAAAATGATGCACGTTTTATTGAGGTGCCTTTGTGTTATTTACTTGCGCTCTCTCTGATACTTTACTAAAAGCACTCATATCCATAAACTTTCCTCAGAGCTTCCTTAGCTGTGTCTCCCAAATTCTGGTAAGTTATGGTTTTATTTTCATTTAATTCTAGGAATTTTTAAATTTCCTTCCTTATTTCTTCACTGATCCACTGTTCATTCAAGAATGTTTTGTTTAGTCAGTCTCTAAATATTTGTTCCTGAGAT